CCCTCTCCGAACAGTCACAAAGCCATCACTATCCTGGTCTTGTCCCAGCTGCGGAGGAGGAGGTGGACCGGCTTGTGTCCTGGTGTCTCCTACAGGAGGAGGTGGACCGGCTGGTGTCCTGGTGTCTCCTACAGGAGGAGGTGGACCGGCTGGTGTCCTGGTGTCTCCTACAGGAGGGAGGTGGACCGGCTGGTGCCCTGGTGGGTCCTACAGGAGGAGGTGGACCGGCTGGTGTCCTGGTGTCTCCTACAGGAGGAGGTGGACCGGCTGGTGTCCTGGTGTCTCCTACAGGAGGGAGGAGGACCGGCTGGTGTCCTGGTGTCTCCTACAGGAGGAGGTGGACCAGCTGGTGTCCTGGTGTCTCCTACAGGAGGAAGTGGACCGGCTGGTGTCCTGGTGTCTCCTACTGGAGGAGGTGGACCGGCAGGTGTCCTGGTGCAGTGGTAACATCTGCACCAGGATGTACTTCCTGCGGCAGCTCAGGAAAGCCAAGCTGCCTGCACAGATGTTGGTGCAGTTCTACACCTCCATCACCTCCTCCATCACCTCCTCCATCACCTGCTCCATCACCTCCTCCATCACCTCCTTCATCACCTCCTTCATCACCTCCTTCATCACCTCCTTCATCACCTCCTCCGTCACCTCCTCAATCACCTCCTCCATCACCTCCTCCATCACCTCCTCCATCACCTCCTCCATCTCCTCCTCCACCACCTCTACCATCACCTGCTCCATCACCTGCTCCATCACCTCCTCCATCACCGTGTGGTTCGCTGGAGCCACAGTCAGGGACAAACAGAGACTACAGTACATCGTGCGCTCTGCAGAGAAGGTGATCAGCCGCAGCCTTCCATCGCTGCAGGACCTGTACATCGTCCGAGCTCGAGGCCGGGCTGGTTGTATCACAGTCGACCCCTCTCACCTGCACATGTATTATTCCAACCACTCCCCTCTCACCTGCACATGGACTATTCCAACCACTCCCCTCAGGCAGGAGGCTGCGGTCCATCAGGACTAGAACCTCCCGCCACAAGAACAGTTTCTTCCCCTCTGCTGTTGGACTCTTGAACACTTAATAACCTGTCCCCCCGCCCTCTAGAAGTCCCTTTACTGTCCCTTATAACGTCACTTACTGCTTGTCACCTTATTGCACTGCCTATTGCATATTGTATAGTAATTGTAATTGTAATAATTCTATTTTAAATTTTATACCGTAGAAGTGGATGCTAATTTTTATTATTCTTATGATGCCTTACTCTATTCTGTAGAACGGGCTGCATGATTGGTAACACACTGGTTAACCATTTTATGTATGCTGATGATCTGGCTATTCTCTCCCCGAGTAGTGCTGGCTTTCAGCAGCTTTTGAATGTATGCTCCGAGTATGGGGTTAAGTTTGATATTCAATATAATGCCAAAAAGAGCGCTGTACTAATCTGCCGCACCAAAGGGGACAAACATCTTTGTTTTCCAGACTTTTATTTGTCTGGTCAAAAGCTAGGTGTTTGCAGTAAAATTTAATACTTGGGTCACATCACAACTGATCGACTCTGTGATGATGATGACATTAATCGCCAGTGTCAAAAACTGTACGCTCAAGCCAACACCTTAGTGCGAAAATTTCACATGTGCACAGTTGATGTGAAATTGACTGTTCAAAATGTACTGTTCACCTCTGTATACCACTGTGGAGCAGATATAAGAAGGCTGCACTACAGAAGCTCAAAGTAGCCTATAATGATGCTTTTAGGATTTTGCTGAAAAAGCCCAGGTCCAGTAGTGCTAGTCTGCTGTTCTGTCAGAGTCATGTGAACTCTTTTCATGCTCTCATGAGAAAAATGATGTACAGGTTTATATGCCGTCTGAATGTCAGTGAGAACTCTTTTGTGCAGTCTCTGGTGAACCCCAGGATTAGTTCTGTGCGCTACCAGTCAGCTCTGTGGAAGCTCTGGTACAGTTGTCTTTTATAATTGTTTGTATGTTGTGATTGTGATGTGGTGTTTTGTATTTTATGGACTTCGAGTCTGATAAATAAAGATAATAATAATAATAATATTCTTTATTCTTTACGGAAGCTTGTTAGGTTCACTTGTGAGTGTTTTTTTTTCCGCTGGTATCATGTCATTTCATGATACTTTCATGAAATAACATGATAAATATGTTATTTCATGATACCGATTTATCATGTTATTTCATGATACACAACTATCATGTTATTTCATGATACACAACTATCATGTTATTTCATTATACAAATTGATCATGTTATTTCATGATACCAGTTTATCATGAAATAACATGATACTGTAGATACAGAAGAAGAAGCTGTCAGCTTCTTCTGATAAATTGGTATCATGAAATAACATGATAGTTGTGTATCATGTAATAACATGATAGTTGTGTATCATGAAATAACATGATAAATTGGTATCATGAAATAACATGATATTTATCATGTTATTTCATGAAAGTATCATGAAATAACATGATAGAAATGTTAGCGAGAAAAAAAACACACTCACAAGTGAACCTAACAAGCTTCCGTATTTCTTTACCTCTCTTCTTTGACTGTTGCACTGAGCCAAAGAAATTTCCAAGTCTGTGACTTCCTGTTACTTACGTGGCAATAAAAATGATTCTGATTTTGATTACTGAATTATCTAAAAAATAAAACATGGATAATAAAGTGTTATGCTAGGATCAGGGTTATCGGGCTAGCTAACTTCAGAACCAAACACCGAGATTTTAGAATCTCAGGACATGAGGATGATTATTGAAGAAGTGCTGTGTTGTAGATCACAGTAGCTGTGTGTGTGTGTGGGTGCGTGTCTGCGTGTGTGTGTGTCTGTGTGTAGTGAGAGTTTGTGCGTGTGTGTGTGTGTGTGTGTATGTATGTGTGTGTAGTGAGTGTGTGTGTGTTAGCTAAGAACTTGTTGTGTTGGCAGCAGGAGGAGCAGGTCCACTGCTCATCTCCTACATGTAATAATATAAATAATAATAATAATGCATTGGTTTTATATAGCACTTTTTTGGACGCTCAAAGTCTCTTCACATCATTATTCTTTCTTTCCAAACACGGTGATAAACTACTATTGTAGCTACAGCTGCCCTGGGGCACACTGACAGAAGCGAGGCAACCAGTCTGTGCCATCGGCCCCTCTGACCACCACCAACCATTCACACACACCAGACTCATTCTAATGTGGGGGAAGTGTCTTGCCTAAGGACACAACAGCAGTTTGGCACTTTACAGCTGTAGCCGCCTCACTGTGCCACCTGCTGTTCCCAGAGGTTAAGTGTCTTGCCTAAGGATGTCTCGGTCATACCATGTGTAAACTCTGGTCCATGATCATTTCCTACATGTACGTCTGGGGCTTATCATGTGTAAATGCTGGTGCATGATCATTTCCTACATGTACATCTGGGTCTTACCATGTGTAAACTCTGGTCCATGATCATTTTCTACATGTATGTCTGGTCTTACCATGTGTAAACTCTGGACCATGATCTTTTCCTAGTGGCAAAGGAGATGGCTAAAGCTAGGCTATATGCTAAATGCCTCACTCACTCGGGCTCATTACATTCGTCACAGTAAACTCAGATCCAATCGTTTCAATCTGCAAAAGGAGTTAGCCCCTCCCACCTGTTCAATGCAGACCTTCGTAAATTAAATGAGTACCATGGTGTGGTAAGACCAGGCTGGTCCAGTGTAGCTTGACTCTCTATAGGTCTCTTCACAGGGTCTGGATCTCCTTCATGGTGGATATATTTCAGAAGACGGGTCCTTGTAAATAAATCCTTGTCTGTTATCTGAATGACGTGTTCCTTCATCCACTTACATCCATGCACATGGTTCGGCTCGACTCCTATTGGTTGCCAAATGCCTTAAAGGTTTTCCAGCCCAAAACTTGCAAGAATGCCCAAAAAAAACCAGAATGATTTTATTATTATTGGTTACTTTGTTGTGAGTGGGTTGCTAGGATACGGTACCAGATCCTTCAGTGTATTGGAAACACAACCAGGACGTAGAGTAGAGTAGAGTAGAGTAGAGTAGAGTAAGTAGAGTAGAGTAGAGTAGAGTAGAGTAGAGTAGAGTAGAGTAGAGTAGAGTAGAGTAGAGGTAGAGTAGAGTAGAGTAGAGTAGAGTAGAGTAGAGTAGAGTAGAGTAGAGTAGAGTAGAGTAGAGTAGAGTAGAGTAGAGTAGAGTAGAGTAGAGTAGAGTAGAGTAGGGTAGGGTAGGGTAGGGTAGGGTAGGGTCGAGTCCTCCTCCACCTCCTCCTCTTTCCCCTCCCCTCCTCCTCCTCCCACACACCTCCCTCTGCAGTGGAGGATTTATCACCTGAACTGAAACTCCTTCTTCCATCTGCGTCTTTAAAGGCTGATTGTTATTTTCATAAATTAAGACAAAAATCATCAATACATTTTTCGATTTACAGGCCATCGTTGTAACTGTTTTTCAGAAGTTTACATCTTCGGCCTTTGTCACGTCTCTGGATCAGCTCTTTCTTAAACCACTTCCACCAACTATTCACACACACACCAGACTCATTCTAATGTGGTGGAAGACTGGTGACTTGCCTAAGGACACAACCACAGTTTGGCACTTTACAGCCGCAGCCGCCCCACTGTGGCACCTGCTGTTCCCAGAGGTCTCCGATCACAGCACCAACCAGGAGAATCCTATTTTCTCTTTAGAGCTTCATTGACATCAGTCTCTTTGAAAAAAAATTCCACACCACAGTTAGCTCCTCCTCCACCTCTCTCCTCCATCCTTCCATCTCGCTGACTTCCCCTCTTCCCCCTCTCCCCGTCCTCTCTCCCCCCCCCCCTCTCTCTCCCCCCCTCCCTCCCCCCTTGCGACTTGTGCAGGTGAAGCCGAGAGGCCGGAGGACCACATGGTTTTTTCAGAGCCATCTGTGGCCCCTGTCCTCCCACTGAGACCCCACTATACACTCATACAGACACACACACTGTGTCTGTGTCTGTGAGTGTGCGTGTGTCTTTGGGAGTGTGTCTTCGTGTGTGTGTGTGTGTGTGTGTGTGTGTGTGTGTGTGTACAACCATGAACACTTTACTGCAGTGACATTTTCAGAGATAAAAAAGCAAGAAACATAACAATTGTAACATAAACAACTGTTTCAGAGAGACTCAGGACTTGTCTGGTTCACACTCGGGACAGTATTCCAACAGGGTTTTACTGCAAAGGGCTGTATTCTGAATCTGTACTGTGGACGACGTGTATTGATGTTGTGTGTCAAAGGTGTGACGTGTGTGTTCTCTATGGCTTTGTGTTAGCTCAATATAAGCTTATTGTTAGTTCAGTGTTAGCTTAATGTTGGCTTACTGTTAGTTCGGTGTTAGCTTAATGTTAACTAAATGGTTGCGCCATGTTAGCTCTGGGTGTGGCTGCTTTGGTCTGTGACTCAGGCGTCCCACATCCTGGATCCTGGACTGAGTTTGGAGTCAGGCTTAGAGTGCAGCAGGAAGTCTACATCCGGGACCGGGACAGGGACAGGTGTGGGACAGGTGTAGAACAGGTGTGGGACAGGTGTAGGACAGGTGTAGGACAGGTGTAGGACAGGGACAGGTGTGGGACAGGTGTGGGACAGGTGTAGGACAGGGACAGGTGTAGGACAGGTGTAGAACAGGTGTGGGACAGGTGTAGGACAGGGACAGGTGTAGGACAGGTGTAGAACAGGTGTGGGACAGGTGTAGGACAGGTGTAGGACAGGGACAGGCGTAGGACAGGTGTAGGACAGGTGTAGGCCCGGTTCATCACATTATTGTCTACTTCACATTTTGTTTTTAAATGTATTTAATTCAATGTTTGTGTGAGTTACCCTGACTCTGGTCACACCTTGGTACAAATGAAATGAGTACCATGGTGTGGTAAGCGACAATAGCTCAGTTGGTAGAGCATTGGCCTTAAGGCCAGAAGGTCGTGGGTTCAATTCCCACCTCTGCACCTTCTCCACCGACTCCCACTGATGACTGCTGTCGTTGTGTCCTTGGGCAAGACACTTAACTCCACTTTGCCCAAAAGCCCCCACTGAAAGATCAAGGCTATGCTCACACTCAGAGAGCAGCCGTCCTCCTGTGGACTCACCACCTGCAGAGGGTCAGTGAGGGGCTGGTGCTATGAGACTTGGGTGGCATCTCTGATTGCCACCCCCCTGACCCAGAAATGGATTAAAGGGTAGAAAATGGATGGATGGATGGATGGTGTGGTAAGACCAGGCTGGTCCAGTGTGGCCTGACTCTGGTCACACCTTAGTAAAAATGAAATGAGTATCATGGTGAGGTAAGACCAGGCTGGTCCAGTGTGGCCTGACTCTGGTCACACCTTAGTACAAATGAAATGAGTACCATGGTGAGGTAAGACCAGGCTGGTCCAGTGTGGCCTGACTCTGGTCACACCTTAGTACAAATGAAATGAGTATCATGGTTTGGTAAGACCAGGCTGGTCCAGTGTGGCCTGTCTCTCTGTAGTTCTCTTCAGAGTCTGGGTCTGCTTCATGGTGGATGAGTTTCCGAAGGTGGGGCCTTGTAAATAAATCCTTATTTCTCATTCCAAGGAAGACATTTCATGAATTTTCTTTTTGCGTTAGAAAATTTTGCCCAAATCTCCTCAAACAAAGATGGCGGCTTAACAACAATAAACATCCAGACTTTCCAAAACTCGGTTAGATCTACGAGACCTACGAGATCTACGAGACCTACGAGATCTACGTGACCTACGAGACCTACGTGATCTACGAGACCTACGAGATCTACGAGATCTACAAGATCTACGAGACCTACGTGATCTACGAGATCTACGTGATTTACGAGATCTACGAGATCTACGAGACTTACAAGATCTACGAGAACTACGAGACCTACAAGATCTACGAGCTATACGACACCTACGAGATCTACGAGACCACTGAGGCTGTGACACTGAGGCTGTGACACTGAGGCTGTGACACTGGGGCTGTGACACTGAGGCAGCCCCAGCCTCAGACAAACTGCTTCAGGAGCACAGCCTTTTGGGCTTTTACAGTGGAATTTTGTAAAAAGTATAATACTTACAGGTTCATTTTTCCCCATTATCCCCAAGACCCTAAATAACATTTCTGTTTCACTTTTTTCAAAAAAATTGCTGGTGACAATGTCCAGAAATGTTCATAAAGTGTATTAATGTTGTTCCTCACTGTCCTGTGTGTGTCTCTTTCTCTCTGTGTGTGTGTGTGTGCATGTCTCTGTGTGTGTCTCTCTCTCTCTGCGTGTGTGTAGCATGTTCTTCTCCATGAAGGCCTATGAGGGGCAGCAGTACTCCACCCTGAAGAGGCAGTGTTTGCAGAGTGGGCTGCTCTTTGAGGACCCCCGCTTCCCCGCCAAAGACGACTCCCTGTTCCTCCACGGGAACCGCATCGGCCGCGTGGTCTGGAAGCGCCCGCGGGTCAGTGTGTGTGAGTGTGTGTGCATGTGTATGGAGGACCAAAACTGTCAAAATTAGAAATAAATGAATAAATAAATAAATGTCACATTCTGCCAATAATTATTAAGATAACACAACAAATCATGCGATTTAATAAATACATATTATTATCATACAAAATGTTTTGGTTTCAAACAAAATAATAAAGCTTTATTATTTTCCTGTTCGTTCAAAGGTCAAGATTAAAATAAATACATTTTTATTATTTAACTGCCGTTTTGTGCCCAAAGAGATGATAAAATGTTTTCCCATGTATTCATTTTCTTCATATTTTATTTTTATTTATGTTCTGTTTTATTATTTCACGACACATTCTTTCCTCGTGTCTTGATAATTAAATGCAAATGAAGGGGGCGGGCCGAAAGCAATCGCCTCGTGCAGACTGACCAGGCTAAACTCATGGATCTATAATAATAACTGCATAGGGTATTACTAGCTTAGCTGTCCCACCCATGAGCACAAGGGGCGCCCGTGGTACTGAAGACTAAATTCTCGTGGGCTACCCAGAAAAAAGTTCTATAGTACTCAATGTATATTAAAACAGCACGACCTCAGCTGACATAGAACCTACAGTTTTCATAAAGATCGGATTTTGTGGGGATTTTAGTGTCCCTTGTCATCCTGAACCTTTTTTCTTCTTTTTTCTTTTTCTTTAAATCCACACTTAACTGCCACAAACTCTGCTCCCTGCCTTCTTGCTCTGGCTCCGCTCTTCCGCTGCTCTGATGAGCAGCTCTGATTGGTCAGAGCACGGCCAAGCCCCTCTGTGCACGTGCATGAAAGCCACACACGCACGTTTGGCGCGACGCATGCGTTGCGCTAATCCACTGCGCAGAACCGGGAGGACCAGACGATGCCCAGATATAGGCGAGTTCAGCTAATCTCCCGGTCTCCATGAAGTCCCATGCGCTACTGAGCACAAGCCATTCATTTGAATAGGGTGCCATCTTGGATCACCGGGGCTTGGGTAAACCTTGCTAAACAGTGCTGCCATTACAGCGGTGCCATCTAGATGTGTGAAGCTGTTTGTCCCGTGGCTGTCATGGAATTGTCACTTCTTCTATAATGCCTAGAAGAGCGTTTTGTGTTTTCAGCTGTACAAGCCTGCAATAGAACGGTGTGTGAACTTCTTAAACCTTTACAACATACTGACTTTCCCATACGGACTGCAGAGAGCTCCTGGTCCACCTCAGGAACAAGACGTGTGTCTGAACTGAAGTGGATGAAATATATAAACCTAGATGACTTTAAGCCAAACAAGAAAGCAGTGGTAAGTTTAGCTTTTATTATTACATCTAAAAAAAAACACTGGTTCTTTCTATAAATCACATGAGTGTAAAAAGTAACTGCTACATTTGCTAGCTTCGTTAACCTGTTAGCTTCGTTAGCCTGTTAGCTTCGTTGGCCTGTTAGCCAGATACAAAAGCTCTGACATGCTCTTGACAGGACCTGTAATGCACTTTCTGTATATGTGCATTCACTTCATGTTAGTTCTTGTTTAGGTTGGATTACACGTTTGCTAAAAAAGTAATTCGCAAAGTGGAGCTTGTGGGACTCTTTCTGGAATTTGCCAGATTATTACAAGTTAGCTAACTGTTAATAGTAATGCACAGTAATGCTTTTAGATAAGCATTTACAACAATAGCGCGTTCGTTATATGAACGTTATATGAATTTTACATAATCAATTAATTAATCTTCATTTTATGTGGGGGTCACGAGTTGACAGTTCTGGCTTCAAATCCCACAAGATCATCCTTATTAAGTATAATAAAAACCTTAAAATCATTACTACATTACTAATGCATTTTTCATTAATTCCAGGTATGTGGGAAGCATTTTCCTGATGGACAACCCGTATGAGAAAATTGCGTTGCTTATGTGTTATGATTGTTGTGTAAGTATGATATTTTTAATGTCCTTCATTGTTTTGTTTAATATACAGCTCATTTTTTCTGTTAGGTAACACCTGCTAGACCCCCCCAAAAGAGATGTATTTAGGCTGTACACCAGAACTCAACTTCTGAACGTGAACCTGGAGAAGATGAAGAGAATTTTGAGTAAATCACTCTACTGACGTGTGATGTTTTATTATTTATTGTCCAGTGGCCAGATCACAACTAGTTTCAGCAGTAATGTGAAGATGAAGGAGCATTTAGATAAGAAAGACTTTGTTTTACACAAGTGTATGTGCTGACACTTTCTGGGAACTTTTGAGAGGACACGTAAGCCTTAGCGGCATCAGGATGGGTCAAATGCAGAGGATGAATTGCCCTACGGGGATTAATAAAGTACACCTTTATCTTACCAATGTTCACTTTCCTTTGCTATCGTGTTGGTGACGAGAATGAGGATAGACTAATGATGACGATATAATTTATAATTGTTGTTGTTGAAATAAGTGTTTTACTGACCAGGCAGCTTAAGTGAATGTATGTGTACTTAGATAGAAGTCTTACTTCTTAAGATAAGATAGACTCTTCCCACTCTATTTCAGGTCAAGAAGAAATATGTATCTATGTATTTATGTAAAATAACTGAATCGTGTATGAACCTAAAAAAATGAATAAAAATTAATATTATCACATCATTCATTGAAAATCTAGCAGAGGGCGCCGGTAAGTCACAAAAGCAGAAAAAAAAAGCAGAATCACAAAGACGACTACCTCCACGCTCTCTGGCATTGCACACCGGTCAACACTTTCTGGCAACTAGTCACTGAGTCACTCTCCTCCATACTCGGCTGCCACATCCCAATGTCCCCCTCCCTCTGTTTACTTGGAGACACTTCCACACTAGACCTCAATCAATACCTTAAAAAACAACTATTGGTGTCGCTAACAATCGCCAAGAAAGTAATTCTAATCAACTGGAAATCAAAAAAAAACATACACATCACCACTTGGAAACACCTCCTGTTAGATCATTTATCAACTGAAAACTACTCACAGCTCTCTACACACACATCTACCTGTCCATTCCTCTCCTTCCTCCAATCATAGCAACTGGACTCAACAATCACACACTATAAACCCAATATCATGGTTAAATATCCTACTACAACTGCGACAACAAAATACTACAATAGAAAAATGTATGAAATGTGACGGTAATGATGACAATGGTAATGGCACTAATATTGGCAATAGTGATTTGGGCAATAAAAACTTTTAGGAATGCCGAAAGGTTTATATAATGACAGAACATAAAATAGTTCCCAAAGGCTTTCCCGTGGCTATGCTAGCAACAGTTAGGCTGGCAACTTCCAAACTAGAACTCTCTGGAACTGCATGAAAACTGAACAAAGAATTCTGAACATCAGCGGTGAGTGACCTAAACATAAACCTAACCTAAATCCATAATTCGATCCTCTGCAAATGTGTCCGAAAATGTGCCGGTCTCTTAAAATGTGCCGGTATCTACTTCCGGGTTTTTCGGGATCGCCTTTTCTCGCATTACATCAATGTTTTTGTCATGAAAACGTAAACGGAAAATTCTGAACTTCCGTGCACTTGTATTAAGAATGTATATGTATAATGTACTTTCCGATTAACATTTCATTGCGTTGATTGATTGGCATTTGCGTTTATTGAGCGGCCGGAACTACTTCCGGGTTTTTCACGATCGCTTGTTGACGCAGAGAAATAGTATTTTTGTCATGAAGACAAGAGCAGAAAATTCTGAAAATTTCCGTGCATGTGTGTGAAGAATGTATATGTATAAGTATTCTCCGATTAACATTTAAGTGTGTTGATTGAGCGTGGCTAGCTCCGGAGTGGCCGGAACTACTTGCGGAGTTATCCACGCATTTGAAAGACAAGCAGAGAGTGCGTTGCCAAAGGGCAGCGGTCATTATTGTTTTGAGGGGTCCGTTATAGAAAATAATGACCGGCAGAACATTTTGAAATTACATTCAAATCAATGCCACAACAGCAGTTCTACTGCTGCTGTGACGAGCCGTATAATAAATTTAATTAACATAGGGAAGAGGGGTAGGATTTAATAAGCTTTGGCTTCTTCCTACTGGGCGGCACGGTGGCTGAGTGGATAGCACTCTCGCCTCTCAGCAAGAAGGTCCTGGGTTCGAATCCCGGTCGGACCAGGGCCTTTCTGAGTGGAGTTTGCATGTTCTCCCCGTGTCTGCGTAGGTTTCCTCCGGGTACTCCGGTTTCCCCTACCACTAAAAATATGTCCAATAGTTCTGGCATGCGCTTCCTGTACTGGCGACCCCGCTCCCATCTCTGTGTGGGGTGAGAGACAAATGCCCAAAATTAACAATTGTAAACCGCTTTGAGACTCAGATCTGCAGTAAAAAGGCGGTATATAAATAAAAACTTACTTACTTACTTACTCCTTGTGAACGTGAATAAGTTTTCTTTATTTTCTTTGTTTTGTTCTTACTGTCTTTTTTTCTTATACATTTAGTCGATGTTCAAATAAACACAATAAATACATAAGTGCCTTGAGCTGTGTTTCTAACTCCAGTTGGACTTTCAACACTTCCCTCTTTCTAGCAGAGCTATAAGACATTATAACACCCCTGACATATGCTTTCATTGTATCCCATAGCATTGAGGCATTAGTATCTTCATTATTATTAAAAGCAAGAAATTCTTTTATCTGTTTAGTTAAATGTGTTACATAATCTGGTTGTTGCAACAATTATGCATTTAGCCGCCATTGACGTGATGTTAGTTGAGGAGAAGGGGGAGCAACCACCAAAGTAACTTCACTATGGTCAGAGAGTAAGCGTGCTCCTATTTTACACTCCTCACTTCAGTCAAGCACCATTCTGGTAGAGAAAAAATAGTCAATTCTGGAGTGACTGCGATGGGGGTTAGAATAGAAACTATAATCTCTTTCTGTAGGGTTAATTACTCTCCAAGTATCCAGCAGCTGGAGGTCAGCACAAAGCTGTTTGGTGGCTTCCCTCATTTTGGAGCTAGTTGGTTTAGCTGAGGGGAACTGGTCCTCCGGCGCCATCGGGCAGTTGAAGTCTCCTACTAAAATACTAAAGGTTTGTGTCATTTTAGAAGCATCTGCCAAAAGTTTAGAATAAAAGTCCTTCTCATAAACATTGGGAGCATAAACACAGCCTATAAAAATGTGCTCCCCATACAAATAACCTGTTATTAGCACGTATCTACCCTGATCTACCTTGATTACATTATTGACACCTTTTACGTTGAAAGAAGTATATTTAATTGTACCCATTTTACTTCACTAAAGTAACTTCTCAAAATGTAAAACCAAAGTATAGGGTTTTTGTCCAAGCAGGAATAATTCACATTAAAATACAACATAAAAAGTCTGCTCAGTGTGAAGAAATAACTCGAGTGCCAAAAACACGCACTCACAAACACAAAATATTGTCCAGCAAAGAAGAGCGTTCAACACCGTACGCCAGAAGCTCATCGCCAAAAACATCAGGTTCCGGATCCGCGAGGTGCCATTTCCATGCAGGGTCGATCAGCTCTGGCACCGTTTTGTTTTGTGAATGAAGAAATGCGTTAATTTCAGGTAGCAGCTCGTAAAAACGCCTCAAAACTCTGCCCCGGCTCAACCATCGGCCCTCTGTATAGTACAGCACATCTCTGTGCGCAGATTCCAGTTCAGACAGGAATTCTTGGAATTGCCTGTGCTTAAGTCCCTTTGCTCTGATGAAGTTTATGCATGACACCACAACCTTCTACGTCAACACTTTGCAGCACAGTGCTTGCTGGTGAATTAGGCAGTAGATAAGTAGGGGCGGTGAAACATCTTTCTTCAATCTCCCGGTTCATGCGTCCTAATAGACCCCCGAGACATGCCCACCATACTAGGAGCCCCGTCAGTTTTGATGCTGGCCAGCTTTGACCAGTCCAGGTCCAACTCTTCCATGGTTTGGTACACTTTGCCGAAAATATCCTCCCCCTGTCGTAGTCCCTTTGAGACTTTGGAGGGCTGCCAGCTCCTCGTACATCTCAAAGTTTGCAATAACTCCACGAATACAAATGAGCAGCTGCGCGGTGTCCTGCACGTCCGTGCTCTCATCCAGTGCTAATGACGGGATTCAAAGTGTCTCCGCAGATTGTATTCTTTGAATACTGCCACCGTATATATATATATATATATATATATATATATATATATATATATATATATATATATATATATATATTATAACACATAACATAAGGAACTTTTTATTGCAAAAGTCTAACTTATCAAATATATATATGAAAATACTCTCTGGCTCTGGTATTGGTCAGGGGGCTGGAGCAAAGGTAGGGGCGGGCCGGGTGCAGCCCGCGGGCCGCAGTTTGGGGACCACTGCCTTAAATGTTCATTCAGATATTGGGCTAAAATAATTTGTATTCAATCCCACCCCTCTTTTGCATGGTTTGCCGTGAATCTAACATTGCACAGCATGGTTTTAAACTGTTTGAATTTTGAATTGAAGATGAACTTTTTACCGTTTGAGTACATTATTTTTAGTACTTTGTAAGAAATAAATATTGCTTTTATACTGACACTTTGAGTCTTGTTAGTTTAATTGTTATATTACAATGACTTGGTCACATATACAATACATATACATATAAAAAATGTGTTTCTTGATAGGGTCTCTAAATAATATCTTAGAGGCCAAAGTAACTTAGCGTGTTCGTACCACTTTAAAAAACATGTTCATTACCCGAAGAGGAGTGAACTTATGGAATGAATTAGCGGATTGTCTTAAATGTACTACCTCATTAGTGAATTTCAAAAGACTGTATAAGGTAAATGTATTAAAAAAATATGAAGTTGAAGGACTGTAAATCTCTTATAAAATTTCTGCTTTCTCTAGTCTAGCCAAACCTGCTAACCTGGCAAAAGCCAGATTGATGATTGTGTAGAACTCTAAAACGCTAACGCGTTCTCCGCGATATCAATCTGGGATTTCTCCCGGAGAATCCTTTCGGGGAAAGGAGGGGTAAGCAGCAGAATACTTTAAGCTGATTGGGCGAAGTGACGCTGTGTGCCCGCCTACCAAGGTTGCCGTCCAGAAATGTACAAAGCGCCTCTCGCTGTTCATCTTTCAAAAAAGAAATTGGAGATTCTGCTAAAACTGACTTTGCGTCCGTCCTCCTGCGTAGCCATGTTTGTTTTGCTTCGGCCCGGCACTTCTTGCTTTCGTCAAACCCGGATATCCCGCCCTAAACCCCCAGACTGGCGCGTGATTGGCTCGCACACCCAGTGGTTTGACTCGAAAAGTGTAAGCGGGAGCGGTACAAGATGTATTCTCGAGTGTTTGTGAACTCACAAATACCGCGAGAATTCAGCTTGCAGGCAAGGTTACAAACCTGCCACCTCACATATACTTGTATTATGTACATACAGTAGATTTCCTACTGTAGCCTGTGTGAGATTTCATAACACTTTTAAGCAACTTTTGTTAAAGTTAAACTCATCATTCTATCAATGTGCAGAAGCCTGTACTTTTCCACTTCATGTTTTGACTATCTCTGCTGGCACTGTGGCAGCTGCTGATTGGTGGTCTCTGTTTTGCCTGAGTATATCACCAGTTTCTGTCTTTAACAACCCTTGTTCGTGTTGTTCGTGCTGTCTCTACCATCGACAATAAAACATTTCTTCTGTCTGAATGAAAGACGCGATCCCAGACTTTGTTATCTTCTTCACCTGCTTGGAGTTTCTGTTTACTGAATAATGACCTTATTTGTCGGCACAATGTACAGCATTTGCTGTATATGCTCATGTTTACGAATGTGATTATATGCAGGTGATCTTCATTCTGTACACATGCACACATACATTCTCATCTGGGTATATCCACATAAGCATACGGAAGATTATTGCATTCACTTGAATTAAAAAAGTTTTTGATACATTTTTCTCTTCTTGATGGCAGTGGCAGTGGCAGTATTATAATTATTATAATTATTATAATTATATTTATTTCTATTTTTTATTTCTATTTTTTATTTTATTTTTTGTACGCATTTATTCTCCCTATAATCAATTTCCCTCATAAACACCACTAATATTATATAGGATTGTCCTTTTTTTTTTTTTTTTTTTTTTTTATACTATTTTCCCTATTTCAGTAGGAAAAAAAAAAAAAGGGGAGGAAAGAAAAAGAGGGGAAGGAAGGGAAGGAAGAGAGGAAAAGGAGGGAGAGGGAAAAGAAGGGAAAAAGGAAACAAAAAAGAAAAATCTCTTTTATATGTACGTACACCTATGCATGTGTGTGTATATATATGTATGTGTGTATGTATATGTATATATGTGTATTGTGTGTATATATATATATATATACATATATATAAAGTAAGCTAGATAGATAAGGAGTGGAAAGGGATGGAGGAAAGAAAAGGAGGGAAGGAGAAGGGGAAGGGAAGGAAAGGGGGAAGAAGGAAAAGGGAAAGGAAAGAGAAAGGAAAATTAAAAAACAAAAAAAGCATCCCCCCTCGATCTCTTACCAAGTATGTCTGAGTTTTTTTTTAATGCACCACATTCCACAAATGTTTTTAATGCACTACACATTAAGGCACGGTGGGAGATGGAGGGATCAGACATAGGGAAAGTGGAAGGGGATTGTATCTCTAAATATGGTGTGCGTAAATAATTTGGGATAACCCTATATAATAAAATCTCTATATTTCATATATGTAATCCACATATATGATTTTTTTTTTTTTTTTTTTTTTTTTTGTGTATATAAATGTATAGGTGCGTGTGTATATCCGTGGGTACATATATGTATGTATTTATGGGTATATATCTGTATGCAGACTTTATTTTATTTGTATTTTTTTTTTGTTTTTTTTCCCCCCCTCTCCTTCTGCCACTATTACTGCCTTCAACAATCCTTATAGGTTAAACACTTCAACCATGGGTACAAACATATGCTTGCGTCTGGGTATATCGGTTGGACCATTTTCTATTTTTTTTTATTTTTTTTATTTTTTATTTTTTTAATTAATATTATTATTTGTTTTATTTTTATTATTCTATTTATTCTTATAACTTGTATTACTGTTTGTCTCATTATACATTTACTACCGCACCATTTCTTTCTTTATGTAGCTCCAATATATCCCATGTCTTCTCTAGCCATAGGTTAAAACTTATCATCCAGTGTTATGCTTATTGTCTGTCCATTATTTTTCTTTTTTTGTTCTTTTATAGTTCATAAATTAATAATAATGTTGCTTGCACAATGTACTGTTCCGCACACACACACACGCACGCACGCCACACACACACACCCTCACACGCGCACAATTTGCTGTATTCCTTAAAATATGTGTCTCTACACATATTCTTGTTTGTTTGTTTGTTGAATGTATGTTACCTTGAAAATCAAATAAAGGAAAAAAGAAAAAAAAAAAAAAAAAGTTTTGGATTTTATGAGTAAAGTTTCGTTTTTTATGAGACAAATAAATGTCACAGTTTGGCTTCAGTGCCTTTTGTCCTGTTCTCCTCTCCCCCTCCCCTCTCTGGGTTTGTGTGTGTCTCCACCTTCCTGGGCGTGGCAGCTCCAGAGTGCAAGGCAGCACAGCTGGCAGTAGATACAATAGACGGTTTTAGTGAAAGTCTGATGGAATTCCCGCCCCGCTCCTCAGTGTTAGGTCTAATTGTGCTCATGGTCTAAGAGCGTAATTGATTCTATGTGTGCCGCGTTGCTGGTGTGTGTGTTCTTTGTACGATTACTATGATGATCCATGATGCTGGAAGCATTAGCAAACACAAGCCTGGCGAAATGGGCGTTTCCTGGCCCAGATCACTCTAGATGTGCTGACTTAAGGTTAGTGTCTGGGCTGATGGCAGAGAGAAGTCGAGGGGAGAACTTCATTTGTTAGACGACCCCCTGCTGAGATTTGATGTACGGGTAGTTTTCATTTTTTTTTTGTCCCGAACTGCTGTGCGGGGCATTCTGATTGTAGTCTTTATAGCTTCTGTATTGTCAATTTTTTTAAAGAAAGTTTTCTCCCTTGGTCTAATTTTCCACATTTCCTTGAAGACATAGCGCCACATGTGGTTCAATACTTTTTTTTTTCCTCCAACGATGCTACAGGCAAAAAGTACCAGAGGAGAAATGGGGCGAGTGAAAATTTGGATGTCAGAATTAAATGTAATTTCGTGTGGGTAATATTCACACTGTCAGAACCAGTTATTTGTTTAATAAGTTTGCAGGCCCGCTCCGTTTACAGTAAGCTGCATTTGTAGTGTTTTCCTGTAGCCCTGTAATTAGAGCAATCACTATGACAGTGGTGCGTGAGGATCTCAAATATATTTCTGTAGTGTAATTGTTGCCTTATTGCAACATGAATCCCCGCTATCCTTTTTTAATTCGGGCTTAGCAGTGTTACAATATAGTTGGACCAAACCCATGTGGTGGCCTTTGCAAAAAAACTGAGACTTGATCAAAATCTGAGCTGAAAGTTTCTTTGGAGAGCGGCGCGAGAGAGACGGCTTGTTTGTTTGTCTTCCTCCGGCTCTTGTGTGGTTCCCACAGACCAATGAATGTCACATGACCTCCTTGGAGACGCCATCTTTGATGGCACGCTGCTGTGTTTGTGCATTCCATTAAACAGAAGAATGAGAATAAATGTAGATATTCAAACGCAAATTGGAAAAAAAGGGCAACTTTTGAGCAAATAATTGTATATTAATACAATGGCACCACAGTTTAACGTGCTACGGACATGTTTTACATATTTGATCAAATTATGCAGCAAAAATTAACAAGCAATGCAAACATTTCTCAAAAACTTTAGATTTAATACCAGTTGGAGCTCCATTTAATTATTTTAATTATATTAACAATTAATTTAATTAATGCTAATGCAACACGGACACTCTGGATTGCTGTTATTGTTTATTTCCGCGTTTTTGACCGTATGTTTTGGTGAATGGTGGGCAACTGATTTTTCCAGGCGTAAAGAGCAGTTTATTTTATGACACAGATCTTTTTACAGAAGCAATGCTGTTTGTGAACATTGTTTTAGCCCACCATAGAACTATTATTATCTATTTAATACATTTACGTTGCCCTCG